GGGTTTAGGGTTTAGGGCTTAGGGTTTAGGGTTTAGGGTTTAGGGTTTTGGGCTTAGGGTTTAGAGATGTGAGGGCCTAGGGTTTAGTAAGGACTCAGGGTTCAGGGTTTGGGGTTTCGGGTTTGGTCAACATATTAGCAGCTGTTTACCCTTTAGAAATTATGCCAGCGTAGACCCCAAACAATTCAAGGCTATCATGACAAGAAGGAAGACAACACCAGGAGCGCGCCACACGATCCCGTTCTCGCCCCCTCCAAACAGAACCTTACCACCAAACCCTGAAACTAGGCCAGCGGGGATATCACACGATCCGGACCCCACGCAGAGACAGGAAGGCAACGAAAGTGGCAGATCAAGGGACCTATATAGGCGTCATATAAGGAAATTAGATTTGGGGTGTCCCTTCTTATACCCCTCCCTCAACCCTAAACCCTAAACCCTCAACCTTAAACCCTAAACCCTACATAAGCAGATAGAAACACGACAAAGACAAACGAGCTCATCCTTCAGGGCGGGTTTTTATGGGAGACAGCAGGGGCAATTCTGCCTGGGAAGCGTGTCACAGAATCGCCTGTCTTAATCAGATTGAAAACTCTGTGTGGGGAAAGGAACTATACGAGGGGTTTAGGGTTTAGGGTTTAGGGTTTAGGGTTTAGGGTTTAGGGTTTAGGGTTTAGGGTTTGGGGTTTAGGGTTTAGGGTTTAGGGTTTAGGGTTTCGGGTAGGCACTCTCGTTTACTCTCACATGGTGTACAGGTTGCTCTAGGCAAACAGCATGGATCTGGTATTTTTTGGGGCTTGGGGTTGAAAGGGCAGGGGAAATACGGAGCCCTAAACCCTAAGCCCTAAACCCTAAACCCTAAACCCTAAACCCTAAACCCTAAACCCTAAACCCTAAACATCACTACAGCCCCTCAGGTTCTAGATGGGGGCTGATCCACACTTCGGCCAGTGTGCATTATTGCGGTATGTTCTGCGGAATGTGAAAGATCACACGCTGTCCGCTGAGGCTCTTAGCCACTCCTACTTCTTTTGCTCGGTTTCCCCCCAGAAAGGCCAAGAACTCCGATGAAACCCCCACATTCAAGGGGTCAAGACTCGTACCCCTAAGGTTGTACCAATATGGCTCTTTTATTACCTTAGAAATCTTTAAAAAAGGTGCCAAAACCCAAGGGCACCACCTTAGGGTCCGAGGTAAGATCCCTTGGCACACGCTGAAACCCTAAATCCTATGAAGTCCTACCGATGCGGATTCGAGGATGTATGCCACGCACATCAGTCTGGTTCATGAGGGAAGTAAGCACCTTGCTACTATTGGCTTATGGCTTAAGAACCTCCACCAAAAATAGAAACATTCTTCCTGATGGGTAACGTAGGGATTAGTATCTTGCATTCTTCGGTGTTCTTACGCAAAAAAATAGCTTATATCCCCTGTTTGAACCCTTCTGTCATGGCACGTCAGCACCCGGGTCTCGCGATCGATGGCCTGAGGGGTGGCGCGTGCGGTCTAAGTCTAATGTCCAAGGGTTTAGGGTTTAGGATTTAGGGTAGTTTCATGGGCCCTTATGGTCCCTTGCCTCCTTTACAGGGTTCTGATGTATGGGCCCTTAGTTTGTACAGGGTATGTAGGGTATGTAAGGGGTACCAGTTTAAGGGCCCATACTGAGGGACCCTGTAACTACCCTAACGCTGTGTTGTCATGCATTGCGGGAGGGGTGTCGGGTCCTTAGGTCAGGAGGATTGACAGCTCGAACCTAAACCCTAAACCCTAAACCCTGTACCCTAAACCCTAAGCCCTTCACCCGAAACCCTGTACCCTAAACCCTTTTACTTAATCCAAACTCAAATTTCAAGGGAGGCTGCCGACTGGGACCACCTTGCAGGAGTGGGATGAAAACTGGACAGGCAAGGCTTTAGGCTTTTGCGTTGGTCCTCTTAACTTAGGGGCTGAATACCCTAGCCCAAGAAAGGTTCACCTAAACCCTAAACCCTAAACCCTAAACCCTAAACCCAAACCCTAAACCCTAAACCCTAAACCCTAAACCCTAAACCCTAAACCCTGAACCCTACACCCCAAACCCTAAACCTCTTATAAGTCATATAATAGTAGGATTCTATATCACCAAAAAGGTTACAGGTTCCTTGCCCAGTCCCGAAGTTAAAACTCAGCGGGACGCGGGACAAAGTTAGAATTCTGCCTGGCAGAGCTGCTGCAATTTCGTGTAAACCCTAAACCCTAAACCCTAAACCCTAAACCCTAAACCCTAAACCCTAAACCCTAATTGCACACAAGCCCTCATCTTACCCAGAAAGGAAGATCCCTGCAGCTGCGCTTTAGGGCTTAGGGGGGGCTTCGAACTTAGGGCTTCGGGATTGAGCCTTTAGGGCACTACAGATGCGATCCCTGTTGAGGTCGCTCAGCATAGCGAACAAAATCAGGCCACCCTTTTAGAGGGTTGGGCTTGAAAAGTCCCAAGCCCTATAAAGCCAACACCTCTAGGGTGTAGGGTTTAGGAAGGCTGCGCTATTTGCATCTGCAAGGAACTTCTACAAGGAATTCCAACCACAGAGCAAAGAAGCGAAAAAACAACTGCTTTTCGTCCTTGTCCTGCAAGCTGTTCAGCCATAAACCCGATAAAACTGTAAGCCATCTCAGCCATGCGTAACACTATAAGACTGAAAAATGTAAACCCAGCAACCCACTTAAACCCTAAACCCTAAACCCTAAACCCTAAACCCTATTCTAATTATTAAGGCCCTGATAGAAAAAACAGCTCTCTGGGCAGCGGACGTTGGCCGCCCAGGCTTCCTTTGGCCTGGTATCCTGGTGCGGTCGAGGGGGATAGGGTTTCGGGGCAAGGGTAGGATTCAGGGGCTTAGGGTTCAGGAAGCCCTACGCTCAAAAACATACATCCTAAGCCCTAGGCTTCCTTCAGAGGAGCGTCCTCCGGCAAGATGTGTGAACACCAAGCGAAAACTCCAAGTGAAGGTCATCGTGTGGCCACTTCCACGGTGCAATCTCTGCCAACCCAAACGTTTTGCACACCACTACGAAAATGCTTCGTATAAGCATTAGGACAGGCTTTTGCGCGGGTTATTCTAGTATACGTATATAGGGACCTTAAGGGAATACTAGTAGTAGTAATGATTGCGACCCCTATATTAGTCCATCCTGATTTGTTTGGCCACGGCGCAAGCTTCAGCAGCAGTGAGGGACAGATGACATCTTTGCATCCCAGAACATTCCCTAAGGGTCCCTATACTAGTATAGTATATACTTGAGCCCCTAAAGCGACTATATGGGAACCCCTTTAAAGCCCAAGAATATACTATATGGGTACATAGACCCTTAGGGATTCGAGGTCCTGGTCAGCGAACAGCTGGAGCGAATGATTCTCCAGCCCGGCCAGCATTTCGGCCGGAAACATGAAACGACTTGGCGGTTGGACGAGTTGGGGCTTCAAACGGTTCCAGTCTCAAGGTCATTGGGTTTGGTACCGGCTGTGGCTCTTTAACTCTTCAGTGCTCTCTCTCTCTCTCTCCAGGCAACAGCAAAGACTCTAAACCCTAAACCCTGAACCCCGAAGCAGAGTCAGCGCACTTGAAACAACTGTTGGGGGGCGAGTTCTCAGGCAGGCCTTGGGGATCAGGGTCAGGGTCTCTTAAGGGGTATAGGGAGGGACCCCTAGAAGGTACCCTTGATCTTATTCCCCTATGCAGCCCAAAAAAAGATGAAACTCCGAAACCCTAAACCCTAAACCCCTAAACCCCCGTATTACAAGCCCTAAGCCCCTCTAGGACCGCCTCAGATCATATGTCGTTCGGGGCATAGAGTTTAGGATTTAGGGTTTAGGATTCAGGGTTTAGGGTGTAGGGTTTGGGGTTTAGGATTTAGGGTTTAGGATTTAGGGCTTGTACTTAGGGGGGGTTTAGGGTTCAGGATTCAGGGTTGAGGATGTCGGGATTTGGGTTTAGAGCTGAATCCCTAAGCCCTCGCAACCCTAAACCCTAAACCCTTAACCCTAAACCCTAAGCCTTCCAGGGGTTCGATAGGCTCTCGGCAACTCATCGTCAACCAAGGGACTCGCCGCTGCCGTCGTCACCGTGGTTCCTCAAGCTGCACATCACCCCCAAGTAGGGTTTAGGGTTTAGGGTTCAGGGTTTAGGGTTTGGGGTTTAGGGTTTAGGGTTTAGGCTTAGGGCAGGGTTTAGGGTTTAATGTTTAGCGTTTAGGGTTTCGGGTTTGGGGCTTAGGCTCAGGGTTCAGGGTTTACGGTTAGGGTAAGCATAGGGGTCTCTGATTCCCTCCTTCCCTACTAAGAATCAGCCAGGAATGCCCCACACAACTCTCTTAACCCTAAACCCTAAACCCTAAATCCAAGGATGCACGGCAAGGCGCTGGCCGTCCCGTTGGGCCCAAGTGTGAAGCCGGGCAAGGAAGCCTTGAACGGGGATGTAGGGGTGGGGCTCAGCCTAAACCCTAAACCCTAAACCCTAAACCCTAAGCCCTAAACCCTAAACCCTAAACCCTAAACCCTAAACCCTAAACCCTAAACCCTAGACAAACTAAAGGTTTGGGCCTTCAAGGGTTGAGGGTTGTGGGCCTGTGGTTTAAGGTTTAGGGTTCAGATATTTGTTGGTTTTGGGGTGGAGAGTATTCCATGTGTAGGGTTTACTAAGCTAAAGGCTGACAGGAAGCGGCCCTAATGATATAACCCTAAACCCAATACCCAAAACCCAAGACCCTAAACCCTACCCGAACTCTGAACCCCAAGCCCTGGGCAGCTGCAGCTCAGCCAGAGATGCTGCAAGCAGCGAACGATACAGACCTGCCCACCAAAAAGAATAAAACGGCTGGATCTTAGTAGGGAATGGGGCACTCGGCCCCCCTATACCCACCTTAATAAGCCTTTCATCAAGGATTCGATGAAGGTACCTGCTTCCCTCATGCCCCACTGAGAACCAGAAAGGACACTCCAGAGGTAAAAGGAGGGACCCCTCTTAACCTTACTCCCCTATATAAGCCTTATATAGACCTTATATAGGCCCCTGTATACCTCAAGCCACAAATAACCCCCACAGAAATACCTAAAGACCACAAATAACCCCCACAGAAACACCTAAAGGCCACAAATAACACCCAAAGAACCCCTAAGGTCCCTTATAAGGGTCCCTTGAACAACCCAGCCTCACCCTTAGCCTAAGCCCTAAACCTCACACGCCTACGCCCTAAACCCTAAACCCTAAACTCTAAACCCTAAACCCTAAACCCTAAACCCTAAACCCTAAACCCTAAACCCTAAACCCTAAACCCTGAGCCGAGGGAGCCTCGCGCCAGGTCGTTCTTGCCGGATGCCCGAAACCGGACCTCGAGCAACTCGAGCCCCTCCTCCTTGGCAGCTGAGAAGGCCGCCGCTATGGTCTTACCGGGTTTAGGGTTTAGGGTTTAGGGGTTTAGGGGTTTAGGGGTTTAGGGGTTTAGGGTTTATATCGGGGTTGGGGTTTGGGGTTTGGGGTTTGGGGTTTAGGGTTTAGAGTTTAGGGTTAGGCGTATTGTGTGGCTTGAGGTTGAATCTATGAAGGCTATAGAGCAACAGGCTGGTGGGGTAACAGCGTGATAGGACTATATTGGCTTGTGGGTGATACAGGGTGGGGCCCCCTTACTATACTAACTGTAGTTAAGGGACTTATAACCTACCTTAGGGTCCTTATAACCCAATTTAGGGCCCTTATAACTCTACTTATAACTAGGGGGCCCCACCCTGTAGCGTGTAGGTTTGTAAGTTTGAGCCGCTGGATTTGGAAAAGGCTCCAGCACTTAGTATTTAGGTGTGGGCCAAGGTGTGCCCAAAGCTCTGAGAAAGGATGTTGATAGGTAGTTGTCCTGAGAATTTCCTTGACTCTTATTGAACCCACATGGGCCCTTGGAATCTGACGCGACAGCAGATCAACAGGTATTGAACAAATGGATGCTCTCCAAGCTGTCATATATGTATATATATATATATACAGATACATATATATATATATGATACATGGCTCAGCAAGAATCCTGTTGCTGCGTGTACTCAACACCGTACACTCAGAACCCTAAACCCCAAGCGGGAACCTCTCTAAAACGAACAAATCTAACCTCTATGCTGTAAGCACGCCCTAAAACCTAAACCCTAAACCCTAAACCTGAACCCTGAACCCTGAACCCTGAACCCTGAACCCTAAACCCTAAACCCTAGACCCTAAACCCTAAACCCTAAACCCCAAACCCTAAACCCTAAACCCTAAACCCTAAACCCTAAGCGTGGTGGTCATCCAAGGGTCCATGGCAGCTCTCCCCAGCTGCCGAAAAAGGCTCTGTTCAACGCCGCGGTGCAGGACCCGACAACTCCTGACGCTTGGGTTCAGAGGTTGGGGTTTAGGGTTTAGGGTTTAGGGTTTAGGGTTTAGGGTTCAGGGTTCAGGGTTTAGGGTTTAGGGTTTAGGGTTTAAGGTTTAGGGTATGTAAAACCCTATACACCCTACAAACCCTATTATAAAAAATATAACCCTGTGAACGCTATAAACACTATAAACCCTAGGGCTTATACACCCTACACACTCTATAAACCCTATGAGCCTCTTGGCCTAAACCCTACTTACGGATTGTTGAGGGCTCGCTAAAACCCCAAGCCGTGGATGGCACGCGACCACGCTTAGGGTGTAGGATTTGGGGTTGTAAGGCTTACATAGGTTACATAGGGTTAGAGGTCCGTAAGACCCTAGGCCTTCGATACCCGAGCTCTCCATCATAACTCCTCCGAAAGCCCTACTAGCCCTAGATAATGCAGAATAACCCTAGACCCTAATCCCTAAACACTACATCCTATGGGCGGCATCTTCTCTACGATTTAGGGGGTATGTGTAGGCAATTTCCAACATTGGGGCACCCCCAGTATCACCCCCAAAGATGCCAAAATCCGTTGTCTAGGAACACAAAAAGAGGTACCCCTATTTTGGGGGAAACCTTCGTCTAGGCTAGTCTTAAACCCTAAGCCCTAAGCCCTGAGCCCTATAAACCCTGAGCCCTAAACCCTATAAACCTCCAACCCTAAACCCTAAACCCTAGCCCTAAACCCTAAACCCTAAACCCTAAACTGCCGAGTCGCAGGGCAAAGCAGTCGAGAATGAGACTGCCGGTCGCGCGGGTGCAGAAAGCTGCGCCCACCAGGCCGTAATCCCCGAACTTATCAGCCACCTGCAGTGCAGGGTTTAGGGGTTATAATTTAGGGTTTAGGGTTTTAGGGTTTAGGGATTAGGGTGTGGGGTTTAGGGTTTAGAGTTTCGGGTTTAGGGTTTAGGGTGCCGACCTTAAAAACTTCATAAGCAACCCGTGTAGCTGGATTCATGTATACTGTGAACTGCTGCTTTGAACCATATCTAATATGTTTCGTAGAGATGGGTTTAGGGGTGGGTAGCCTGTATATACATGGATAAATCTAGATAAGGATACTCGACTGGACTTAGACCTGACCAAGAGGCTTCCCGAGCGCATTTAGGTGCTGTCTTTTGGGCTCGGATTCTCAGGTATCCCCAGATGGGTATTTCCCAAATAGGGGTACCCTTTGAATCCCCTTAAAGGGACCCCCAAAAAGAGTACCCCCTCCTGCCGGCAACGCCCAGATGGGGCTGGGCTAATGAAGCCTCTGGGTAAGGTAACTTCGGGTTCAAGCTAAGGGGAGGACTTAAGGAACAGAAGCTAAGGGTTCGGGGTTTAGGATTTAGGGGTTCAAGGCTCAGGGTTTAGGATTTAAGGGTTGAGCTGTGTTCAGGCCCTAGAAGGGGTTTATGGAGGAAGTTGCCCAGCCCTGAAACAGGCCTCGATACCCATGAATCCCTAAGTATCACTGTAGTGTGCCCATTATCCGGTCTTTGCTTCCTGGCAAAATTTGGCCACCCAAACACCTGAAGGGCAGTTACTTAAGATAGGAAACCCAAGCCTAACACCCCGTTCTGAGGGTGATTCAAGTAAATAAATGTTTCAACCGTTTTTTTGTTTACTCAGGCTACCCGAAATCCACCTCTTAAAACCCTCAATCCCTGAACCCTTGAACCCCTGACCCCTATGCCCCTAAGCCCTGAACCCTATTCCCGAGACTTTCTCGGAAACCCAAACCCTGAACCCTGAACCCTGAACCCTAAGCCCTAAACCCTAAACCCTAAACCCCCTAGAAACTTCCCCAGACCAAGCGCCTGTGCGGTGAGCACGAAATGGCTCCCCGAGGAGCACCAAGACCTTCAGGGATTAAGGGAATTAAGGCCTAGAGCTTAGTTTAGGGTTTAGGCTTTAGGGTTTAGGGTTTAGGGTTAGGGTTTAGGGTTCAGGGTTTAGGGTCTTAGAGTTCAGAGTTCAGGGCCTACTGTGTTTAGGGCGTTTCGGGTTTATATCGATTTACGACAACTCAGAGAAAAAGACTTGCCGAAGGAAGGTCCGAGGGTCCTCACTTGCTCTTCGCTGAAGCGCAGCTGGGTGGTGTTGAACTGGTTGGTTCCTGATTCGGGCCCTAAACCCTAAACTCGAAACCCTAAACCCCTAACCTTAAACCCTAAGCCCTAAACCCTAAAACCTGAAGCCGCGCCCTAAATGGGTAGTTCTCTACATTAGGGTCACTTTTCGGGGAGTCCTGTTTATAAGGTGCCGTGCTATATCGAAGACCAAAAAGAGACCCGAAACCCTATAGGTGTTCCGGCTTGTAAACCCATGGGGGGCATAGTGGGCATTTGCTTCCTCCAGAAAACCCTTCAACCCTGAACCCTAAACCCCAAACCCTAGATCCTGAACCCGAAAACCGGAATCTCAAAGCAAGGCGCTCATGGATATTTGGCTGACCCGATTCATGTCGCCCTCGCTGGGCGGTCGGATGTCGATGCTTACCTGCATGCCGAGCGAGCGCACGAGAGCGAGAGCGAGAGAGAGAGAGAGAGAGAGAGAGTAAGAGCGAGTATGAGTAAGAGTGAGCACGAGGGTGCAAGAAAGAGTTAGAATGAATAAGGGTGAGTAAGAGTGAGTGAAAGAATGAGTGGGGGCGAGAGAAGAAAGGAGAGAAAGACGAAAGAGAGAGCGAGAGGATAACAGGACAAAGCCTCTTGGCTTTAGACACACAGTTTACGTACCTTAAAAAAGAAGCGTACTACAATTTTGGGTATTCATGCGCTCATTTCGAAGGGAATCATCTTAGGCTGGCAGGTGAAGATATCGGGTTTGGGTTCCTGAACTCTCACTCCTAAACCCTAAACCCCAAACCCTAAACCCTAAACCCTAAACCCTAAACCCTAAACCTCAGGTGCAAGGAGAACATTCTCCCGTTTGGCGAATGCCTCCAGAGACGCGACGAAGGCCTCCAGTGAGCCATGTCTCTCCTCTGGCACTTCACAGGGTTTAGGGTTTAGGGTTTAGGGTTTAGGGTTTCAGTTTAGGGGTTGAGGGTTTAGGGCCTAAGAGCGGTTGCGGGTTCAGGGGCGTTTTTGGGTTTAGGGTTTTTAGGGTTGGTGTATGAATTGCCTTTCTTGAAGGTTCCATACATGAATGAGGGTGCCCTTTCTGGGGGTTGCTTACAGCGCAATTAAGGGAGACCTGGAACCAAACACATGGGCAAAGGGGGCTACTAAGTAGTAGGGTTTAGGGCTTAGGGTTAGGCACTGAGGGTTTGAGCTTCATGGATGACTCTGGGAGTCAGGATATATAACCATTTACAACTCCAGTTGCCGTATTTAACCCCAGGCCAGTTACTAGCCATGAACCTGCAAGTGCAGACCCCGTACTTACACCCCAACCTTCTATCTACCAGACTACCACCTGTAGCATCACTGGGACTTAAACCCTATAAACCCTATAAACCCTAACCCCTAAACCCTAAACCCTACGGACGTAGGGTCCTTCACGGCACCTCCAACAAGCCCTGCAACAGAGGGAAACCCTAAACCCTAAACCCTAAACCCTAAACCCTAAACCCGAAACCCTACACCCGAAGACCCTGAGCCCTGCAACAGAGAGGTCCAAGTCCTTCTCGGCTCGGCGAGCCGCGTTGCTGCGGTACAGCTCCTGTGGCTTTCCTACGTAGGTTTAGGGTTTCGGGTTTAGGGTTTAGGGTTTCGGGTTTAGGGTTTAGGGTTTAGGGCTTAGGGCTTAGGGTTGAGGGTCTAGGGTTTAGGGTACGGGTGTTTTGCGAAACAAGGGGTGCCCTTTTGGGGGGGTCCCTTTAAGAGGCTTCTATGCTATGTGGGGTGTACAAGCGGTACCCCTATTTTGGGGAAATACCCATATAGATGTGCTTCAGGGATCTCTTGTCTTGAAGTACTTTGCGCAACCCTACAGTATCGAGTCGGTAACCTCTCCCCACGACCACCACCGCCGCCGCCACCGCCACCACCACCACCATCATCACCACCCTGGCCCTTCCCCCCCCCCGCCCCCAAGGAAACAATAAGAATAAATGAACAAGTTGATTTGATGATCTGGCCTTATATGGGTTAGAAAGTTAACCCGGTCATAGGAGGGGGGGGTGGGCTAATGACCCTAAACCCTAAACCCTAAACCCTATACCCTATACCCTATACCCTATAAACCCTAAACCAACGGGTTTGTGGTTTAAAGGTTTGGGGAGGACGGGCCCAACACCAACACTAAAGACTCCCAATCGCATTGTACTGGCCAGGTGCCTCTTGTTGATGATCCACATGTGGCGTAACGGACTCGGGGATTGCGCCCCCCCCCCCCCCCCCCCCCCCTAAACCCTAAACCCTAAACCCTAAACCCTAAACCCTAAACCCTAAACCCTAAACCCGAATAACCCAAACCCCTGCGTCCCATGCCTCAGTTTTGTTCTTCTTTCTTAGGGTACCTCAAGTAGGGCTCTGCGGCGTAGCATCCGCATCCCCAACACCCGCATCCCTGGGACCCTCGTGCTTGGTCAGCACATGGCCCATGATACGCTCTATGATGCTCACACTCGGTGGCGAGGCATTCTCCGAACCATATATCTGCTCCATGCAATCCAAGGAGAGCGTATTCGCGATCCCATCCCACTCCTGGCCCTCGGCCAAAGAAAGCGGCAATGATCTTCTCCATGAACAGCTGTTTCACTGGTACAGTAGTTGCCATACTTCTACATCTACTTGGAATTACCCATGAACCCCCAAGTAGGGTTTAGGGTTAAGGGTTTAGGGTTAAGGGTTTAGGGTTTAGGGTTTAGGGTTTACGGTTTAGGGCTACGCCTAAACCTCGAATGGCACACCTAGAAGTTCTTCAAGGCTCAAAAAATATCACGGCTTTGACCGTCAAACTCTCAGCCCAGCCCTCATCCGTCCTGTTTAGGGTTTAGGGCCCAGGGTCGATTTAGGGTTTAGGGTTTAGGGTTTAGGGTTTAGGGTTTAGGGTTTAGGGTTTAGGGTTTAGGGCTAGGGTTTAGGCTTCGAGAGCTTCCCTTCGATGCGGCCGAGGATCCGTGCGGCGGGCATCCTCTGTCGTCTGAGCCCTGCCGACGAAGGCATCCAGCACCTGTAGCGAGGTTTAGGGAATTTGGGTTTAGGGTGTTTAGGGTTTAGGGTTTAGGGTTTAGGGTTTAGGGTTTAGGGTTTAGGGTTTGGGGTTTAGGGTTTAGGGTTTAGGGTACAACAGAAGACAGAAAGTGTAAAGCATGTTTGGCTTACCCTAGCATCGAAACGATGCACATACTACATAATCCGGGGTCGAAGGACCCGTGTGACCAATCATACCTTCTTCGTGCTACTTGCTAAACCCTTAACCTAAACCCTAACCCCTATACCCCATTGATAAAGCCGGGGACTGGGGTTTCCGGTTGAGGGCTTTTACTCAGCTTTGGAGTAGACCCTGGAAAAAAAGTATATACTTTTTAGGTAATAAGTAGCAATAATAGGAACCCAGAACCAAAAAAAGTATTAAAGTATGGTACTCCAAAGCCCAGTTTATGACTTGCTTGTGAAACCAGTGGAGCACTCAGGGTTCATGTACCCCTCTAGTCTGTACTTGGGCCGAAAACGGGTTCCCATACAGGAGCTGTATGGGAGCTTTAGGGGCTCAAGTGTATACCATGTGGGGAGTTTACGATTGATGTTGGACCTGCTTTAACAATCGAGGACCCTGAATAAAAAAAACCAACTGTCAGGCAGGGAAGGGGTCAGGAGATTTAAATGAGCTCTTTGAGGGTTTTGGAACCAGATCTCAAACTAAGAACTTGGACCTCAAAAACCATTTAAAAAACCACGTTTTACCTTTTCATTGTAGAGTACCCCCCAAACAAACGCCCAAAATCCTGAATAGCCGAAAAACTTTTCGTAATAGCGTCCCCCTAGAATATTGCGGGTGCAACATTAACAAGGGGCCCCTAATACAGACCCCCCAAAATACGAGGATCCCCTTATAAACATAAGGACCCCTGACAAGGTACCCTGAAATATCGTAATCCCCCGTATGCCTAAACCCTAAACCCTGAACCCTGAACCCTGAAC